ATGTTTATCTTTGAGAGAGAGAGAGAGTATAAGTGTGAGTGGGTGAGGGGCAGAGAGAGGGAGACAGAGGATCTGAGGCAGATTCTTTGCTTAGAGCAGAAATCCCCATGTGGGGCACAAACTCACGAACAGTGAGATCATGACCTGAGCTTAATGAAGTCAGATGTTTAACTGACTGAGCCACCCAGGCACCCATGATTTAACTTCTTAAAGTAAAAAAATATATATGTATGAGTGCACCAAAATAAAAATGATTTCATTCGATTGTTTGTGAGGGCTGACCATGTGCTAAGCAACAGAGATGTGACCAAGAGTAAAACAATAGTCTCTGCTCTCTTGGGGTTTGTATCCTAGAGAGAGAGAATATTAATTCAATAATTAAATACTTGTTGTGATAAATACGTAATTAAATATTGGGCCCTTAAGTTATATATGAATTGATATATAACTAAAGGACCCTAACCAGACCTGAGCTAGACAATGGATGCCTTAACTCCCTCAGCCAAAAATGAAGGGAACAGTGTAAAGAACATTCTAGGAGAAAGGGGCAGCATATGTAAATGCTCTTGGTAGTGTACTAAGAAACAAAAATGTAGCTTGTCTGGCTGGAGTGAGGGGAAAGGTCTACCAAAATGAAGCTGAAATTTAGACTGGGATTCATAGGGACTTGTTTCCCATGTTAAAAATTTGATTTTTATTCTCATTAGGAGTGGCGGGATGTCACTTAAGCTGGATTTTTTTTTCATTTTTATTTTAATTCCAGTTAGTTAACACAGTGTTATATTAATTTCAGGTGTGCAATCTTGTGATTCAACAATTCCATACCTCACCCAGTGTTTATCACAAGTGCACTTCTTAATCCCCATCACTTATTCAACGTATCCCACTACCCCTCTCCCTCTGGTAACCATTAGTTTTCCTCTAGCATTAAGAGTTTGTTTCTCAGTTTGTTTATCTCTCTTTTTTCCCCTTTGCTAGTTTGTTTTGTTTCTTAAATTCCACATATGAGTGAAATCATCTTGTATGTGTCTTTGACTAACATTTCACTTAGCGTTATACTCTCTAGCTCCATTCATGTTGTTGCAAATGGCAAGATTTCATTCATGTCATGGCTTAATAATAGTCTATATACATATATATGTATGAATATTATCCTATGTACATATATATGAATATAGAGTATGTAGAATGCATATGTATATAGAATGTTCTATTCATATATTCTACATATATACACATATATACACGTACGTATATGTATATAGTGTTATATGTATATAGAATGTATATGCATACAGAATAGCATTCTATATGCATATACATATGTGTATATGTACATGTAGATGTATATGGACATGGGTATATACATATATGTATGCATATGTATATAACATGTTATTCTATATACATATATACACATGTTCTGTATACATACATGAACATGTGTATATGTGTGAATATATCTGTACATATTTATCATGAAAAGGTGCTAATCATCATTTATCATCAGGGAAATACAAATAAAAACTACAATGCAATATCACCTCACACCTTTCAGAATGGCTAAAATCAACAACACTAGAAAAAAAAAGTGTTGGTGAGGATGTAGAGAGAAACGAACCCTCATGCACTGTTGATTGGACTGAAAACTGGTGCAGCCACTCTGGAAAACAGTATGGAGGTTCCTCAAAAAGTTAAAAATAGACCTACCCTATGATCCAGCCATCACACTACTGTGTATTTACAGAACACTAATTCCAAGGGATACATGCATCCCTATGTTTATAGCAGCATTATTTACAATAGCCACAATATGGAAGTAGTCCAAGTGTCTATCAGTTGATGAATGGGTAAAGAAGATATGGTATGTGTATCCAATAGTTTTTTTCTTTTAAACTCTTAAGGTTTTACAGAAGGTAACTAGATAAGAATTCGTTTTTACAAAATCTTGCTGGCTGCAGTATAGCGAATGGATTGGAGGGCTGGCCAGAGATCAGTAGGTAGCACCCCGAGCTGTCCTCAGTTCAGGAACAGAATATACATCTTGTGAGCTCTGACAACCAATTCCTTGTGACAAGAGAATAAACAGACTTTTATATACTATGACTTTTCAAGTGAAGTAGACGAGGAGCAGCCTAAAGACACGAGCCCTTGGAAAAAAGTCTGGCAGGTAACTCTGCAACACAGGGCCATTTGGAAATGAAAATGTTAGTAAGATACAGATGGGACAGAGTCCTAATCAGGGAAAGTTTCAAGACAAGGCAAAGGGAGTATGGGCTGTCCATATTATGTTGAACAATTTAGAACCCACGTGTTAGTCTTATATATTAATTAACTTGTTTTGCAAGTTTCAATTCCGCTTATGATAGTTTCTTTTTCTTTTTTTTTAAAATGAAAGTGAACAGAGTACAGGAGGCAGTCATTAACTGGTTTCCCCATTTTTAAATGATATCTTTGGGCCAAATGTGACCAAGATGTAAGTCCATTGAGGTTCTTGGAAAGTTGTCCTTGATCAGTGCAGTTCCTATATTATGCTTGCATGGGTCACTTTTAGTGGCACAATGTAATCCATTCTAAAAACTTGATAAGGGGGTTATATAATTTTTTCTTACAGCCTAATAGGACAGAGGACAGGGATTTAGAAGGATTTTTGTATTAAATTAGTTCTCTTAAAGCTTTCTGTTGATTGAAAATAAGTAGAAAATGATGCTACAGAGTTCCAGATAACTCAAAAATACAAAACCTTTTATACAATAAATCTTATTGGTATGATTAATAATAATGCCAGCTAAGCTTTAGTGAATGCTAATTACATCTAAGCTCTATGTTTTCATGTGTAATGTTCACAATAAACTTACAGCATTATAGCACTGTTATCATTACCATTTTTAAAAGGGGCAAACTAAGATAATAGAAACATCAGGTAATGCTTCAAATCATTTGCTTCAACTTTTATATGAGTTGTTGTTCTACAGAGCTGATATATGAACTTTGTCAGTGTGTTTGGGTACTCATGTGCTCCCTTACTCTTAGATTCATGTTTTCTCCCTTTACCCTAGGAGGCACAACATGAGTTACTCCTTGTAACTCACTGAGGCTCTCAAGTGAGTGTGTCCTTTGAACTGAAATTTTGTTGAGTAGATGCTGCCTAACTGTGGCCACAGAAAGAGTATTGAAGCTCCGCTTTCCAGATTGTCCCTGAACCAAGCAATCTAACTGCATTCCCTTGGTCATCAGCTGCTTCTGGTGACACCATTCCCAGACCTCACGTAATACAGTACAAATAGTGTACTTGAGGAACAGATGAGCTCCAGCCACCTCCCTGAGCTCTCCCAAGCTTTCTTAAGTGTGCAAGACAAATACCTCATGTAAAACATTCCTCACTGATCCTCTTGCTGGTTTTCATAACATGAATGAATAAAGTGTACCTCCAGGCTACTTATTTCCTAATTAAAATGATTCCAGGCTATCTATTTTATTTGAAAATTTAGACTGATATATGATACTCATTTCAAGGGGGAAAAAAGGAAGAATCATTCTGAAAGTCACATGAGTATGTGGTGATGGGAAGGAAAACACTGAATTTAGTCAACTGGGACAATTAACTGAAAAAGAGACTCGGGCAGAGAGAGAATCACTACATGTCAAAATGCACGAGACTGGCTGAGATCTCATTGTACCTCCCTCTTCTTTCCTTGGGAAGGAGTTTAATGAAATAATTCCACATAAGTGAATTTTTATTAAATATGTTTAGGGGCGCCTGGGTGGCTCAGTCTGTTAAGCGTCCAACTTTGCCTCAGGTTATGATCTCATGGTTCGTGGGTTTGAGCCCTGCATTGGGCTCTGTGCTGACAGCTCAGAGCCTGGAGCCTGCTTCAGATTCTGTGTCCCTCTCTCTCTCTCTGCCCCTCTCCTTTTCATGCTTTGTCTCTCTGTCTCTCAAAAATAAATGTTAAAAATTTTTTTTAATGTTTAAAAGTTACAGAAAAATCCTCTAAAAGTAAGAAAACCGAGACAGGCAAAGTTATAGACCCTTTAAAAGCACCATCATGGGGTAGCTCAGTCGGTTGAGTGTCTTACTTTTGGTTTTGACTCAGATCATGATCCCAGAGTCATGTGATTGAGCCTTGCCTCAAGGCTCTGCACTGAATGTGGAGCCTCCTTGAGATTCTCTCCCTCTGCCCTTCTCTCCTGCTCTATAAATAAATAGAGAAATCAAACAATCAAACAATCAAATAAAGCACCACTATGCATTGAACTTCTACCTTGAGCTCACCCTAGAGATCAAAGCTGTTCCAAGGCCAGAGCAAAGTGCAAGCTCTGAGTCCATTTGCGTTGGGGCTGCTACCTCCTTTTCCTAAATATTCATTAAACAGAGTGATTTAGTTAGCCATTCATCCATCACTCTAGAGATGGGGAGATCAAGTAAATGGCTGTCAGAAACTTGGCCTTTCTCCTGGGAGGGTCCCTTTATGATCTCCTCTTTCCATCCCCCCCCCCCCCACCTTTCTCAGCTCACTTTCCCTCATGGACCTCCATGGTGAGTTTCCCGTATTAGATCCTCTGCCACCATCCATGATAAGCAGGTCTCCTCAGCACTCATTCTGTTCACACAAAGGGCCCTGCAGCCTGAGAGCCCACTCAACAGTATGCATTCTGGGGTTCACCCTCAGAGACATGTCCACTGCCCTTGCCTAGCCTGCTGGGGAAGATATCTGGAGGCGAGGGACTTATGAGGCCACAGCTTTGCTTCAAGTTCGCACTCTTACTGCTACCCTTTTGTCCCTTCTTGTCCAAGTCTTCATTTCATTTCCATTTCCTTTCTTTGTCCCTTGCTGGGGAATTGCTCCATGGAGTCAAGGGCCATCTTGGTGTCTTATAATGAAGGGATGTAGCACTGGACAGAGGTCGATGTGCTCTGGCATCAATTTTCAGGGAACATCAGAGACAGTGAGAAAAAACTCTTCTAATTCTGTCAGTGCCACTTTCTCTCATTTCAGGTTCCTTGCCTGACGGATGGAAAATTGCTGTGGAGGAACAGTGTCACGGGATCCAATTTATTCACAAAAACCTGTCTTAAGAGCCCCAGTGGATTGTGACAGTGGCTAAAAGAGATTCCCAGTTCTAAGGGACCACACTCAGAAAAGCTGAGCACGATACATTGATGGACCTGCTGACGCAAAGGGACAGAAGGAGAAAATGGTTTCTGTCAATGGTGTGTCAATTACTCGTGTTGAGACTTCATCTGAAACTAATATTTAGTGTCATATTCTTCACTCGGTCGGTTCCCCTGTCTCAAGGTTTTTATTCCATCAGCTAGTGGTCTGGTCTATCCATTCTCCACCCAGGGGTGAGGGGTTTATTCCACAAAGAACAGTGGACAAGAGCAGATCACTCGAAAGAGATAAAAATGGGGGCATTGGGAGCACAAGGGACTTCCTAGAAATAAGCCCCTATTCCTTGACTCATTCTTATTTTTGTAGGATTCTTAAGCCAGGCCCATAAGAACTTTTACAGGATGTGTGTAACAGGAAGGGTCCTGATGCTCAAATCAGCAGTCACAAGCTGTGTCTGTGACTTAAATTCCCCCATCTCTTTGGATCCTTAGACAAAGACAAGTGATAATAGACTGCTTTCAGGGGTTTAGCATTGCATTCCATTGAGGTAACCCAGATCTGTCGATTACTGTCGCTGGTCTAAAGTGCAATTATTCATTGATCTTTTTATAGTCATTCATTATTTTACATATTCATTCAAGAAACATTTACTAATTACCTATCCTGTGCCAGGCATTACTTTGGGTTCCATTGTAGAAGAGCAAATAAAGCAAAGTCTCATCTCTTAAGAAGCATACATTGTGTAACCACCCTTGACATTTACACAGCAACTTTCACATAGATTTGTCAGCACCCTTATGGGTGCACTTGGAGGAATGGTTTTCTCCAAGCACCAGTCTTTCCTCACATCGGAAGCCCTCTGTTCAATGTGCAACTAACTCTTCCTTTGCTCCCACTGCATATTGCCTGGCCTCTTTCCATTACTGATCCAACCAGTTTTTTCACTAATGACTCTCCTGATCTGTTAGACGGTTCTTCCTTCTGTACCTTTGTTCCTGCTCTTGATTTATGCTTGTAATTGACAGATTCTTCTCATGTCATTTTATGCATAACATTCTGTCTGCCCAGTTACCCTGAAAACTTTCTGAATGCTGGGCCTAAGTCTTTTAATTCTTATTTATTATTCTTGAGCAACGAATTTGGTTAACATAGCACAGTGAATATAGTACCACAGGCAGGCTCCCACCTTCACTCCTTCGCATTATGTTATTTTGCAGTCTGCTCATCAAGGTGTGCCTAATAAATAACTGTGCCTCACTTCTTGCTTTCTACTGATAATTCTCAAACATCTGTTTTGTTCACCACAGTACAACAGAGCACCTGACCCGATATGGGAACTTGCTACATTATTTCTTGATTCCCAGTGGACTGACTGATTGGCTGGGACAGAAGTAACAATCCACACAGTTTGTAGTGTGGTCAATCTTTAGGAACTCTATGCCATATATGAGAAGTCTGGGGCCTACTTACTGAGTTCTGCAAATGCTTACTGACTTACTCAGAGAAATGGATGTTGGAGAACAGGCTGCTACTGAGGCATAGAGTGATGCTAAATATAAGGGTCAGATGTCACCTCATGCCCTCTAGAATGATTTTACTTTGGCTGAAGGGCAGAGACTTACACATTTTTACATTTGACTTAGACAAACGAGAGAGAAAGCGGTAGGCAAGGAAGAGGAAGACAAAGATCCTACACTGTTGGCCTTGAAGATGAAAGAGGAGGCCACAATCCAAAGAATGAATGCAAGTAACTTCTAGAATCTGGAAAAGGAAAGGAAACAGATTTTCTTCTAGAGCCTCCAGTGGAAATACATTGATCTTAGGACCTCTAGCTTTCGGAATCATAAGACATTAAAGTTGTCTGGTCTGGCAAAACACATATGTAACCCACAATGCCATACACTAGAGTAGAAGAGCTGGATAATTCTAGAAGAGGAGGGACCCTTACTATATGAGGCACAAATTGTGCTGATTTTTCTAAACGTCTATAGGAAAAAAATGACTCTTGAGACAGAAGAATGGAGTTAAGATCTTGAAACCCATGCTAATTTTGACCACATACACCTTGTCCTAAAACCCCCCAACAAGACAGGTTATGGGAGGGTTATTGAACACATCTTGGTTGCTTCCAGGTTTTGTTAATGATGAATAAAACTGCTATAAACATCCACGTGCAAGTTTTTGTGTGAACATGAGTTTCAACTCCTTTGGGTAAATACCAAGGAGCATGATAGCTACAACATATGGTAAGGATATGTTTCATTTTGTAAGAAACTACTGAACTGTATTCCAAAGTGGCTGTACCATTTTATGTTCCCACCAGCGATGCATGAGAGTTCCTGTTTCTCTAATATTTGGTCTTGTCAGTGTTTTAGATTTTGGCCATTGTAACAAGTGCTCCTTTTTTTTTTTTTTTTAATGTTTTTGCCTTTACACCATAAATTATTTTTAAAATATTAATGTTTATTTTTGAGAGAGAGACAGAGTGGGAGTGGGGGAGAGACACAGAAAGTAGGAGACCCAGAATCTGAAGCAGACTCCAGGCTCTGAGCTGTCAGCACAGAGCCCAATGCGGGGTGCTAACTCATAGACTGTGAGATCATGACCTGAGCTGAAGTTGGACATTTAATCAACTGAGCCTGTAGGTGCCCCTACACCATAAATTCTTTAATGGCAAGGACAGTGTCTTGTCCTCTTTTGTATCCTAAGTCATAGAAATAAGAAAAAATAACATCTGCTCACTGTAGTCTACTATGTTATTAACTATGTGATTATTCCCAGGTTATTCTATGTAGCAATTAATGCATCATTCACACAACCATTAAACTGTAACCCCTTTGAGGGCAGGGACCATCAAATCATCTCTCTTTAAAGCAAGATTGAAGACCTTTGCAGACCCTTGGACGTGGAGGGAGAGGGTTGCTCTGTCAGGGAGTGGACTCCTCCTCATTGGAGGTGTGGCCTAGATATTATGCAAAGAACATAGGCACTGGGGGCAGATGTTGTATTACATGACCTCTAAACTCCTTCCAACATTATAATTCTATGTCCTTGTCATTCAGGTGGCACCTTCTGAGAAGTTCCATCCAGCCAGGCCTTTGGCTGTGAATGAAGCCAAGACTGCAAGATCCAATGTGATCTTCTGCATGATTTTTTTGCTACAAATTCATCTCCTTCAATTCTCTATCTTCTACGCTTTGTCCAGTTATATTAAAAAGCTCACTATTCCCGCCATATAATCTGATGTCTTCCACCTTCAGGCTGGATTCATTGCATAGAATGCAGACCAGGCTGCACCTACTGCTTCTTCCAGGACACAACTTAGAAATATGTCACCTATGAAGCTTTTCCTGACTTTGCACCACTGTTCTGGGTACCCCTGTCTAAGTTACCATTGTGCTCTGAACTTACCGCAACTGCATCTATTTTTCCCTTAAAGTTTATTTATTTACTTTGAGAGAGAAAGAGAGAGACAGAGAGAGCGAATGGGGAGAGGGGCAGAGAAAGAGGGAAAGAATCCCAAGCAGGCTTGCAGTGTCAGCATGGAGCCCGATGCAGGGCTAGAACTCATGGACTATGAGATCGTGATCTGAGCCAAAACCAAGAGTTGGACACTTACCCAACTGAGCCACCCAGGCATCCCTGCACTTTATTTACTCTTCATTTGTATCTATCCAGTGGCCTGCAAACTTCTGGAAAGCAGACAGGGCCTTGTTCCCTCTAAATCCACAGCGACCAGCATACTGCCTCGCTGTGGATAAATGCTCAATAAGCATTTGTGGAGCACATGCTTAAATAATTAAAACTTAATTAATGAATGATTGAATGCCCAAATGCATCAATTTAGTGCTCCACTTAAGCCTAGATTTCAGTTGCCATGGTTATACATCAGTAACAGTTTAATAGATATGGAGAGAGAGAGAGAGAGAGAGAGAGAGAGAGAGAGAAATACAATTGAGAGCATTGTGTGCCGAGATAGATTTTCTACTTTTATTCATAAAGGCCCACAGTTTAAAAGCCTTGCACTCACAGGCAGGAGAGCCGGGTGAGTGTCCACACAAAAGCCTCGCCCGTTTCCTTAGTGAAGTGCCCAATCAGGAGCTTGTAAGAGTGTTAAGAGTCTATCCCCAGTGTATCCACCGGACAAGGTGAGGCAGTTTTCTGCATGGTCTGATTTTACAGACCCCAGAGTTTTGTCTGCCATTAATCTCTTCTGTCAGCTTGCCATTAGGCATGTAATCTCGGCAACTAAAACCACTCCTTTCTCATAAGACTGTGTCCCTAGAAGTTCACTTCTAGAAAAAAGCAGGTACCTAACGTAGTTGTCATAATCAAGGTTAAGGAACATGGATGGCTTGTCAGGGCTGGTTTCTACCACTAGAGGATTGTGCCCTTGAAGAATGGAGATGGCTGGTGAAGAATGTGATGTCCAGACCTATTTGAGCCTGGGGTTACTGAAAGCAGGTATAGATGGGAGAATCCCATGCAAAACTCTGTGTCCTGTGAAGAAGGTCAAAGTCTCAGGGGCCCATTGGGTAAAAAGGGGGAGAGTGAGTGAGGACAAAGCAACATCTTGGGTTTGTCATGGTGTGGTCCTGCTCACCCCCCCAAGATGGGCTTTGAAGCTGGGGCACATTTTTCGTGGTATGTATGAGCTCTCACAAAGTATCTTGGCTTCTCTGTTTTCTTGTGAAGGTGTAAAGCTCCCTGTCTTCAGGGTGTGTCTCACCCTGTTGCCACAATTTAGAAGTGTAACATTCTGACTGCACTTTTGAAAATAGAGTGAAGCTTTGTGGCTACGCATGTTCTGCGATTGTGCGTAAAGCAAACAAAAAAATACAAACTCGGCGTTAAGCAGGAAAGGCCTGAAGCACACAACAAAATATTTATTGACAGATTATTAGTACGATAAAATCACACCGTTTTATTTCCACAGAGATGTGAGAAGTTCAGCTAAATCCTGCTCTGTGAAATATTTATCTCTTCTACTGGGAACTTTCCTTTTGTTGCTTGAGACTGGAGGCACTCTCAGAACATTTTTCCCTTAAAGCAGAAATGCTGATGAATGGCCAACCTTCATAATTAATACCCACCAA